CCCCCCCCAAAAGAGAAAACCACCCCCTACCAACATGATGAAAGGAAAATCCTGTTTGTTTGCACAAATGGAAGAGAAGATCCTACCCTACCTACCTGTTTCACCCTACGAGAGTCCTGTTCCACAATGAAGCAGGTTCTGGCTTGGCGCCTTATCTTGTTTCATCCTCTTATTCTGCCTCTCCTGGAGCCATTCAGTTACAGCTCCCGAAAGAAATTGTTTCAGGTAAAGAAATGGAAGGACTGAGTTGTGCAATGGTATGTATGGAAGATGTACCTTCCCAGTGATGGGGAGGATGGCAAACAAGTAACCATAGCATTGCTGAGAAGTCTGGCTTCTCTTTTCAGGTGCCAACAGATGTGGAAAAATGTCAGGACCGTGTAGAATGCTTCAATGCTGACCTGAAAGCAGACATGGAGAGATGGCAGAACAGCAAACGCCAAGACTTCAGGCAGCTGCTTATGGGAATGGCAGACAAAAACATCCAGTACTATGAGAAGGTAACACCCCAAGTTGGTGTAACACTAATAGTTTACTATCGGTAACCTTTGACCTTGAGGTTAGGGGCATGGCTTCGACATTCCAGTGCTGTGCTGCACTGCAGTGAATGTTATTGAGCCTGGAGGGATTTTAGCTTCACTTGCAGGAGCAACCCACTTTTGCTGTAGGTCATCCTGGAGCTGCTATCAGTGTTTAGCATTACCACTGACTGATCTAAGCATAAAACAGTAGCTAAACATAAGGGCAGTGGAATTACTCCAGTGACGCTGGTAACCCAGTAGTTGACGTTACCATCTGAGATGCCCCAACTCTTTGTCCAGGTTTGATGCTTCTACATGCACCTGAAAACCAGCTGCCTTTCTTATAATTGAGAGTCTTGGTATCTTCCCTTTTTATGCCAGCACTCTCACTAAGTTAGTACAGTAGGAGCCAAATGTACTGTATGTCCTCGTGGTAATCTTAAGGAGCAGCAAATGGGTGGGTGAGAGAGGAGTAATAGTCTTAATTCAGCCTGATATACATTAACCTTTTAGTTTTTATAGTGGTGCAGTGTCTCAGTCTCTCACTCTAACCTATAGTTCATGGAGTCCCCATTGTAGCAGCAAGTCAGTTGCCTAATTTATTATCCAATGGTAAAAGGTCTATACTGTTTTAGGTAACTTACTTGGGTGTGATACTGTAACTTGTCTAAGAGCAAAATGAGTCTTGGCACATATCAAATCTGAAGCTTAACCCTGTAATCTGTACACACTTCAATAGTTCTTCCTATATATCTGTTTTGGGTGCTTTTTGTTGTGGTTGTCATCTTGTTTTTTGTTTTAAAGGGAGTAGGTTCTCTAAATCTGTGTTGTGATATTTCTCTGGGATGTGTGCTGCTGAAACCTTGAGGTGCTGGCAAGTGAGAACAGAGAATATTTGGGTTCAAGTAAAATGTTAAAATCTGCAATGAGTTTGTCCCAACCCCCTTCTCTAAAAGAGAATGTAACTGGTCAATTCAGCTTGCTAGAATTAAAAGCTCCACAAATGGCCTTGTACTTGATTCAACTTTTTGAACAGTAGTTAAACTAATCTTGCATCTTCTTTTACATGTCCATTTCTTTGTTGCTTCACTTCTTATTTTTCTTTAGTTGCTGCTTAGACTCCATTCCAACAGGCAAAGGCTGACTTGTACTATGGAGCAATTTCATGCCTCCATTGCTCTGCCAAGCCTCCCTGCTATCAGACCACCATCAGTTGCTTAAAGCTGTTTAAGTTTTTTTTTGCCTCCAAAATAACACTTTAAAGACACTATGGAGGCTGCAGTTGCCATAGGATGTAGCATTTAAGATTGGAAAGGCAAATATTATGTTTTAAGTGTAACTTGGGAAATTCCCAACTTGCCAGTCGTTTAGACTAATGACTGACACATCAATGCATTTTATTGTGACATGGCAGATGGGCAAACAACTCGTTTTATCTGGAATTTCTGAAATCCTCTGCTTCTTTTTTTAACTCATAAGCTGCTCAACTGGTGATCAGGACCATGCTTTTGAGATGGTTTATCTTTACATGATGGAGACTTGGAGTGAAGGAATAGTAGTGTGTAACTAAAAACTTACTGTTGCATCTTCCTTTTTTTTTCAGTGCCTTACGGCGTGGGAATCAATTATACCACTATTACAAGACAAGCCAGAGACCAAATAAGAAGCCCCTTCATGGACCCTTCTAGCCACATATGTGCATAGTACCACTAAATGACATACTGGAACTATCCAATGCACTACTTTGTTGTGATAAATGCCAGCTGTGCTCAGCTTGGAACAGACCCATTGAAAGCAGTTTTTGACTTTCCTCATCTGTTTGTATTTAAACTGGTGTTTCATCTTTTGAGTTACCTTGAACGGTTCCTTTTCCTTCCTATGGTATGATCCTGGGATCGTAATGGAAATTCACAGGGATTTTGATAAAGAAAACTTACCTCTTTTTTTCCTGGAAGGAACTAATGAGTGGAACACTAAAAAGATGAAAATAAAACTCTACTGCAAGGTGCCAATATGACATCTTTATTACCATCCTCTTGTTTCATAAATAACAGTTAATTCTTATGAAACAGTGCTCCTCAACCACTCCTTATAACTTTTTTTTTGATGCAGAGGTAATGGTTGGGAGGGGAGGCCTTTTTGGCTACTGTCTGAATTCCCTATGGATTAAGCAGTCCTAGAGCTGAACTCCTCATGGGGGAGTTGAGCTGGTCCTAGAGAGACTATACTGACACCTCCTGCAGAAAGCTTGTGATGCAAGCATGAACTGTGGCTTGTGTGTGGCATGCTGTTGGTTCATCTTGAATATCCATGCTCACTTGTTTACCTTGGTGACATGAAGTAATGTTTATGTGGGACAGGTTTAGGGATCAAAGGAGAGTGGAAGTGAATTTATGCTGTCTCCTATCCAGTGCAAACAGACAGGTGTTTACTTGCAGTTCTGTCTCCAAAGCTAGCTCAAAAAGGGTATGTTTATTTTTTTGTATGCTTTAACTTTGGAAGTGTCTAAGCAGAATCCAGTGTTCTTCTGGCCTGAGTTGGTCGAGCTTTCCACTGTAGTAAGGATGGATTCTTGCATTCTCACCTCCTTTCTTTCTTTCAGCAGCCAAAAGATATATCAAGTGCTTGCTTCTATACCAAGTATTGTGCATGTGTGAAACTGGCCTTTAAAGATGTTGAGGTGGGAGGAATAGTAAGTTAAATACCCCCATGTTGCATATTCACCTCCTGTTTGGTGTTGGTGGCCTTCATACCTTCCAAAGGAAGGAATACTGCCAAGACTAATTACAGATTATCTGATCTGGCAGTGCATGAAGAATCTCAGTATTTTGCACCTTTTTTTTACCCATAGCAATCTGGGGGGCTTGTCTGTTTGCCAAAACATTGGTGTAACATCAGGCTTTGAATAAGAGCAAAATTTCTGCCTTTCTTGGCTGTTTGCCCCGTAGTTTTGATAGGAATTATCACTTAAACCCAGGGAATCCCAAATTTTACTAAATCAAAGCAATTTTGCTAGTTGCCTTTTTCAGTTAGATATTGGGGTGCAGGGGAAAGGCACAATATCTAACTTTTTTTTTTAAATGCTATTCTCCCATAAAACAATTAGTTGAGCAGCAGTTCTGATGAGCCAACAAAGGCTTTTCTAAACAAGAACATGGTTAAGGGGGGGATGGATCTGTCAGTAGCTGAATAAACTTAATCAACTTTTCATTCCATTTCTTGTTTTCAAGTTTGTTAGAAAAATGGAGCAAATAGTCTTGTAGTTGCAGTGTGTCTGGTCTCAATTTTGTCATAATGGCTTAAAAGGTACTATTGGCAAAGGACACTGCAGCCTTTAAGTAAAGATTATGGTACCAAGGTGGTGTGGTGTTCCACTTAAAAGTGTAGGTAAGAATTTCACTTTCTTCAAAGGCAGTGGGATTTTTGTAAAGGCATTTTGGGCTTGGTACCTTTAGAGTTGAGCACGTAACTTTACAGCCAAGCAAAATGATTATATAAATCAATGTCTGAAGTGGCAAGAACCTTTTAAAACTTTGGAAGGGAAGTTCTGAGCTGTCACTGGAGGTGGCTGCAGCTTATCAATAGATGCAAGCATTGCTCGGTTTACTTGCTTGTTTTTCTACCCTGCCCCCCTTTCCAAACGTTTAGCTTAAGCCAGTCTGGGAAATTGGTGAAGGGCAGGATGTTACTTCATCCCAACTATTAAGATCCTGTGCACCCATGCACACAGTTCAGTGCAGACTTGCAACTTCTATAAAATTAGCAAATGTTTCAGCCCTGGAAACCAGGTGGAGGCTGTCAAACTCTGTCTAGTTGGTTGGTTGTGCATGTGCTAGATCCACCTCTGCCTTCTAGCATATAGGCTTCAAATTCTCCTGAAGTTCCTATAGTGTATATTGGTAACTTCAGACCCAAAGGTTCATGAATTACTTTTACAAGTGGTAACCACCTAGAAATGTAGGGGAAAACAAGAATTCAAACGACTACTGAGATAACCAAGTATAAATCCATCGAAGAGCAACCTTGTTGCACAATTTTTTTCTTCATAATGGGCACTTAAGTACTACTTTTTAGGGTACTGTATGGGCTACTTTCTGGATATGTAAACTTGGTGTCACACGTGCTATTTATTTAGCTCAAATGGAATAACTGTTCCATGTTGGTTAGACTGCAGAATCCAAATGGCAGGCTTGCCCTCCCCTTTTCTTGTGAGCCTGAGGTTAACACTGGGGTCTGAACTTTGTGGCTTGGCACCCTCCCACAGCATTAAATTTGCTCCTTGTCTCCCAGTTCCACAGCTGCCTATCCTTTTTGAGGGAGAAGGCCATTCACTGCTGCTTCCATCACTTCTGATGTGTGCAATTGTTTGGTTGCTGCAACTCTTGACACTAGCCCACCTTAGCAAGTGCTGTTTTAGCACAGGTTTTCTTACTCTGTCCTGGTGTACATGTTTTGAGGCTTTTTTGTGGCTTATTTGTTTTTGTGGGTCTTTTATATAGTCTGCATAATCTTCTTAGGTTTTGACTGTTGCAATAAATGTGGGAGAACTTTAAACACAAACTGCTCCTCAATAAGATTCTAATTTTTAAATATGAGGGCACTTCAGGCAGCTCCACTGCCTAAGGCTCTTTCATCCAATAACTGCTGGTACTGTGTACATGTGCCATAACTATATCTTTTACTTTCCTTGGCAAAATCATTTTTGGCTTCTTCATAATGTGATGCCTGTCCTGGAGGGGGGTGCCCATGTGGCTGTGGGGAGGAGGCAAGGTGCAGAATGTGAGGGGAATAAGATATGAGAGAGGCAAACTAAATTCTGTCAGGACAGGCTATAGAAATTGCTGAGTGGCTTAATGCATTAGCAGACAGCTTTCAACTTGGCTCATCCCCAAGTGACACTTGATGGTCTGCATCTCAAAACCACTGCATGTGATTTGGAACAAATAGCAGCTGTTGACATCACATCAGAGGTCTACAGCTGGAGTTGGCACTGCTATAGCAGTATTTCTTGAGCTCTGTGGTGATGCTTTTGTGTAGCACTTGTCCACAGTATATGCTACTTGATGCCCTTTAGTTCTGTATATGCTTCACATACATGAGCAATTTCCCCTAAACTGAATGGGATGACTCGTGTAACACTGCTCATGTGGTATGTTGGCAGATTTGAGCCCTACTCACAAATGGCCCATATAGCTGAAGGAATCATGCAAAATTTTAATGATGCTGCAGACTGTTAAACCAATCAAGTTAATAATAGAAACCTTGGCCTTCAATAGCTGGTGCTTCTGACCCACTGTCGGTGTGTGCAGAACTGTGTGGGTGCACATGCTGTCTCTCTTAGTTAAACTCATTTGATGTTCAGCTGCCTTTTAAACACTAAAGGTACAAAGACAGTTTTCTTTGATATTAAAACTTTTTACTACAAACAAATGAAGAACATTTGAGGAGGGAAGTGTCTTTTTTTTTTTTTTAAGGGAAAGATCTTGCTAATATTTGCCAAATATATTTTTGATAATGTGAAACTAGAGACCATCGGGGGGAGAAAAACCTTTTGTGTCTCTTTAATGTGAAGGCTTAAATATCAATATTTAAAATGTATTTTGGGCACTTTTTTGATTGTAAGGAATTAAATCAATATTGTGCTTGACACGCATCACTTTGCCAGGGCTCTGATGCATAGAAATAAGTTTATAATTAACGGTGTTTTAGTTTGGGATTGATTTTCAGAAAAAGCAAACAGTACTCATTAGAGAGCAGCTCTTAAAGAGCTACGAGCTTTTGTATAAGTCACTCTGGGAGAGAGTAAATGCCAAAAATGTATACAAGTCAAGGGTGCCAATGTCATCCTGAACTTAAATAGCTCGGGTCCTGATTTTAGGGTCCTAGTAATAGCTGAACCCTTTACAGCACTGATTTTTCCATTGGGATGAGGCTCTAGTAATCATGCAGATCCAGCATTTGGAACCTGTTACCTGCACAGCATCTGAATAGATGCTGCTGCTGCTGCTGCTGTGGCTGCTTTTGGTTTTTGCAACAGTGAGCAAACTAGAGTATTCCCCTATCTCTGCTGTGTATGGAACCCAGTCAACACTGTCCTATCTCTTCAATTTCCTATGAGCCTGCACTTGTAGCTGCCTATCACATTCAGGGGAATTTATGCCAAAAAATTGGCAACTGTTTTGGCATGAAATTGGAATTCTGCCAGCACACTAAAAATTGTCCCCTTCTTGCTCAGTGAGTACACACATACTGAAGATTAGTAACTCACTAGCTAGGTGTCCAAACTGTATACTGTATTTATGACTCCTTATGGTAAAAAAAAAACAAAACAAAAAACAAACCCACTAATTTTATAGAAACTTGGCTTATTCTTCATACTCTGGTCACTCTCCCATTATTTTGCCTATCATTAGAAACCAATGAAAGCTGTGAAGATTTGTGTTTTGTGAATTAGCTAGTGGATGATGTACAGATTGGAGTGGGTTTTATTTCATGCCCTCAACCAAACTTAACAGTTGTGCTTTTTTTCCCCTAAAATCTTGTGGGATATGAATTTGTCTCCTTGACTTGAGGTGCTGGCATGTTTCTGTTCTCCTTTTTCATATATCTCTGTATACACATTCTGTGCATTGTTTACTACAAAACTAGTATTGATGAAAACACTTTGAGGTAAATCATTTGTAATGCTTGTTAACTATTTAGTGTGTACATTTTTTAATACACCGTTTCTTTACCTCAATTAATTTAAAGGAATGGACCAATAAATGTATTAAAAGATGATTTCTTTATCTAGAATACTTGTTTCATTTTTGTGTAGCCTCTGCTATACCCAAAGCATGAACCATGTCCTTATTTTGCTGGAGAGTTCATTGCCCTGTCTGTCTATGCTCAAACTTGTACATTTTTAGTACTTCTGGTTTAACTAGAACTTATGCTAACTTTTGGTTTTGTGCCTAGTAGTTGGTGTCCACCACCAAGTTAGCACCACAGCATTGATCCTCTGCCTTTGTTAGTGTCTGAGGAGAATGACATGCTGTCTGGGGCCCAATGACTGATTCAGTCAGGAATGAAACCCAGGACTCCTGGGTCTTAGCTCAGCATCTCAACTACACAACCACCCATTTCCTTAGCAGGGTACAAAAGAGAATCATCCTGCTTCTAAAGCTTCCCTCCGAGC